GGGACTAAGGGGACTAACTAAGGGGACTAAGGGGACTAAGGGGACTATTCAGTGAAGAAGCGTGTTTCCCCACCTAACACACCTTTTATTTCAGCGTCGCGGCGTGGGGGCGCGAAGCGCCCCCCGAAGAGCCGCGACCCATGCACGTCTCTGTGTATACCATTATTCCTACCCTTAGGCCGGTTAGTTAGTCCCCTTAGTCCGCTTAGTCCCCTTATTCCCCTTAGTCCCCTTAGTTAGTCCCCTTAGTCCCCTTAGTCCTCTTAGTCCCCTTAGTCCCCTTAGTTAGTCACCTTAGTCCCCTTAGTTAGTCACCTTAGTCCCCTTAGTTAGTCAACTTAGTCCCCTTAGTTCCTCTGTCTTGGTAAAAATGGGCTGTTATTTTTTTTCAAAATTCAATTTGAATTAAAAAAAACCCATAGACTCCTATTTGGCTTGTAGAACAGGTGATATCGACCCAGTGAAACGAATTCTTGCGTCAACTAATTATATTGACTTGAATCGTCTCGCGCAGAATGGAAGCACAGCGCTACATGCAGCTACTTTCTTTGGTCATAGTGATATTGTTCTACGGCTGCTTCATCAATACGGTATTCAACGTCATCGGCGAAATCGGTTCGGCCTTGCTGCTTACGAAGAGGCCGCTACTGATGAGTTTCACCAGTATTCTATCGTTCATCAAATTCAGAACAATTCTCCAGTGATACTATTGATCATGGTGAGAATCCGTTTATTTCGGCTGTTGATGAACAAGCAGAAGATGAAGATGACAACAATGAAAGACCAGACGACTGGGTAGCTGGAGTTTATGGTGAAATCGGAGTTCGTCTAGGTCAAGCAATCGGAAACTTTTTCAAAAATATGCTGAAATCATCAATTTGGCGACCATTAATTCCGCTTCTAGGGTGTGGATGTGTGGGTTGTGGGTGTAGGTGGATGTGGTTGCGGATGTGGGTGTGGGTTGTGAGTTGTGGCTGTACACTCTAAAAAAAAAAGGTTTTGTCGGAAACCTATAGAGGGTTTCCGGGTTTGTCACTATATGAAACCCTTTATAGGTTTCCGAGAAAGGGTTTCCGAGCTCTCGAAAACCTTCAAAAGCAATGAAAAAAGCTCACGATCTCGGAAACCTATTGAAGGTTTTCGAGACTTCGAAAATCTTCAATAGATTTCCGGCAGCTACGCACTACCCTTACTCTATCCCCTTATTCTAATCCCTTAATCTATTCCCTTATTCTATCCTCTTATTCTAATCTCTTATTCTAACCGCTTAATCTATCCCCTTACTCTAACCCCTTATGTTAATCTTTTATTCTATCCCCTTATTCTAAACCCTTAATCTAAATCCTAATTCTATCCCCTTATGTTAATCCCTTATTCTAACCACTTAATCTATCCGCTTATTCTAACCCCTTATTCTATCCCCTTATTCTAACCCCTTATTCTAACCACTTAATCTATCCGCTTATTCTAACCCCTTATTCTAATCCCTTAATCTATCCCCTTATTCTAACCCCTTAATCTATCCCCTTAATCTATCCCCTTATTCTATCCCCTTAATCTAAATCCTTATTCTAATCCCTTATTCTAACCCCTTATATTAATCCCGTATTCTAGCCCCTTAATCTAAATCCTAATTCTATCCCCTTATGTTAATCCCTTATTCTAACCCCTTATTCTATCCCCTAATTATATCCCCTTATTCTAACCCCTTATGTTAATCCGTTATTCTAACCGCGTGATCTAACTCCTTATTATAATCCCTTCATCTGTCCTCTTATTCTAACCCCTTATTCTAACCCCTTAATCTAACCCCTTATTATAATCCCTTCATCTGTCCCCTTATTCTAATCCCTCATGTTAATCCCCTATTCTAACCCCTTAATCTATCCGCTTATTCTAATCTCTTATTCCATTGCTTATTCTAACCTCTTCATTTGAGGCCTCACTCTACTCTGTTGTTCTAATTTCTAATACAAGTCGTTAACCTATATCTATCCGCTTATTCTAACCGCTAATCTAACTTCTTCATCGATATCAAGGGGAAAGAAACTGATTTCTAATGCCAGAAATCAATTTGAAATCAACAGAAATTAATAGAGATCCTTGCTATTGTGTGTATATCTCAGCTTGTCAGAATTTTGATATCCATAGTAGGGGTAAGAAATCACTGTTATCTGAGAAGGAAAAATTTGTGAGATTGATTTTTTCGTTAGGGCAAATGTATTTTCCGAAAATGATGATTTTCGCATAAAGTTTGAGCGGAAGCTATCGGAGTCGAGCAATCCAAATCTATAAGTGATTTCGAAAAATTTTCGAGTTTCGATTTTTTTGTCAGGGTGAAGCAATTTCTCATAGTTTTGCCAGCTCTATGGGAATATCCGCATTTCTGCAAAATAGGCCTTCAGTGGCCGAAAAAATCAAGCTGATAAATTTTGAAAAGCGAGTCACAGATTCGAATTCCTGGACCCCCATGACCTTTGGCCAAACTTTATAGAAAATCGTTATTTTTTGAAAATAGCCTTATCCTAAGAAAAGAATGAAAATCACAAATTTTGTAAAACGGCTCATAGATTCGGATTCCTCGACCTTGATAACCTTTGGTCAAACTTTATGGAAAATCGTTATTTTCTGAAAATAGCCTTATCCTAACAAAAAAATGAAACTCACAAATTTTGTAAAACGACTTATAGATTCGAATTCCTGGACCTCGATAACCTTTGATCAAACTTTATAGAAAATCGTTATTTTTTGAAAATAGCGTTATCCTAACAAAAAAATGAAACTCACAAACTTTTCGTTACCGGTTATTGGGCAACGGAACGGTAGCGGAATTCCTCTAACTCGAAATCGTCAGAAATCATGGAAATCACTAGAAATCAAGAAATCGGAAATCAGTTTGTTCCTCTTTGATCTGTATCTGTCCCCTTATTCTACTTTCTTGTTCTACCCCTTTATTCTAACCTCTAATATAACTCCTTAATCTATATCTATCCCTAAATGTATCGTGCTAATCTAAGTCCTTAATCTATGTGTATCCTCTTATTCTAACTCGTTGTTGTAATGTCTTATTCCGTGGTCTTATTCTAACTCTTTAATGTATATCTGTCCGCTTATTGTAACCCTTAATCTAACTTCTTAACGTTGATCTGAATTTCATATTGGTGAACATGTGTCCATAGTATAACCAGGGAAGAAAAACCTAAGTTCGGCACGAAATTGCTTGACTACGATGCCTTTAGAGGGCATATAGTGACCATCCAATTTAGCGCGACTCTTCGATTTTCACAGTAAAATGTGTCATAATACATCCAAATTTTAGGCTGTTTGAAATATAAAAACGAATTAGAATTCTTTTGGGAACAAGGCCTTCTTTTACATTTCTCAGATTTCTTATGTTTTACAAAGCAACTTCACACAAATTAAGTAAGGTTTATGTCATGCATATCGAGCACCGCTTTACCTGAAAATCACACGATAGAACATGAGAATAAAAAAGATCATATTGGAATGCTAATCGGATTTTGCATACTACTTAATGGGTTTTCGGAACTTTTTCTCGAAAACTCAAAGGTTTTCGCAACATTTGGAAACCCTAAGGGGTTTTCCAGTTATGTTCGGAAACCTTGCTAGATTTCTGGAAAACGCTTCGACCGTTTCCGATGCCCGGAAACCCAAAAGGGTTTTCGATAAAAAAATATCGAAAACCCAAAGGTATGCGAGGATACGCAATGGGTATCCGAAAAGGTTTTCGAAGCAAAAGCGGTTTCCGAGAATACGGTTGAGGGTTTCCGAATCCTCTCTCTCCAGAATCCATTGGTTTCCGGAGGCTTGGAAACCCTCAAGATATTGTCAGAAACTCAACATAAGTTCGGAAACCCTTCCGGAAACCTAAAAAGGTTTGCGAAAAGGTTTCCGAAGGGGTATCGGTTTCCGAGGAAACCTTTTTTTTTTAGAGTGTAGGTGTCATTGTGGGTGTAGCTATGGGTATGAGTGAAAAGAATTTCTTCGATCCACCCACCCCACCCCACACCCACATCCACATTCACGCCCACTCCTTGACTTAAAAACATCAAAGAAAACGAACGTGAATATCTATGGAGGGTGTGAGTATGGTTTGGATGTTGATAAAGTCGTTCTCCTTATCTACACCCGCATTCACCCTCGAAATATTCATAGGATCAATGCTAGGTACGTTAGTGAATTGTGGCACGGAGTCTAGAATGGTTATACCAGTATAAAGAATAAATTGTAGCATAAAGACTCTCACATGCAACAGCGCAAGCCTGATTTATTGATAGGAGTTGGTT